AGAATGTGGAATTCCCAGATTGTAGTTTGATATTCTAACCATTACAGTATGCCCAGTATGTATACCATTACAGTATTCCCAGAGGCATTTGATTGGGGTTCCATTTAGGAAATATACTAATTCTGGATATACTACTAATTTTCTGTGGTAGAGAAGAAATCTACATTTTTGTTGTATAGGCTGTTGTGTTCCTGTTAGTGGATACACTACTAATTCTCTGTGGAAGAGAAGAAATCGATACATTTTCACTGTATAGGCTGTTGTGTTCCTGTTAGGGGTATTTTTCCGATATTTATTTAAGCTAGTTATTGAATGGGGCTGAATTTCGGCTATCTGAAATGGCCAAGCCATCGAAATCCCAAAAATATTTGGGATCTTTGGGGCTGCCAGATAGTCAAAATTAAAGGGTATTTAAAGGGACTGCAGTCCCTTTAAATGCCTTCAGCTGGGGCAGTGGGAGCTGATAGCTCTGTGCCACCTCAGCTGGGTCTGGCTCCTTTTGCAGCTTGGTTTAAACCAAGTTGCAAGAGGAGCCAGTCCAGGATCAGGTGGGGTGGCAGGAGTCGAGAGCTCCCTGCCAAATGCAGATCCTGGGGCCAGTTTAAACCATGCTGCAGGAGAAGCCAAGCCAGCCTCAGGGTCGGGTTGGCTTTTTTTAATGGCCTTTTTTCTGGACTGAAAAAAAAATGTGATTTCTAAAAAATTCTGGATCCAAATACCAGACTGGTACTGGGATCTGAGATTTTTCAGAAATACTGAAATAGACCCAATAGGGTCCAATAGTCCCAAACCAAAACGTTGATTGGTTTTTTTTTTGGTGCACCCCTAGTTCCTGTATGTTCATAGACCTTGGCCCCAAACATGATACTTGCTCCAGGCCACATAAACCCTCTGGGCAGCTCTATTCCCATGCAAAATAGCTTTTCCACTCTGACTGCCTGTATCTCCAGTTTACTACAATGTTTTCTCTCTGCCTCTCTTTGAGATGGTAGACTATCCCTTAACGGGACCTTCTGTAACATCTCCTCTCTTTCCTAACCAGCTTTCAAGGTTTCAGAGTGAGAATCATTATGATGACTTTGCCCTGAGCACTGAACATACAGCTTTGCTCACAGCAGGACTGACTTGCTAAACAGCACACAGGTTTGTGGACAATCCAGTGCAGCATAGGCATCTCACAGTGTGGGCTCGACATGGGCAGAGGATGAAATTTTCCTTCCAGACAAAATGGAGAGGAAGCCCAAGGCAGTTGCTTTTGATTCAGCACATAAATTGGCTATTGGCTCCCTGGTCACAGAAAGACAAATGTACCCTCTGGCTTTGTAACTGTTGTGATTGTCTAAAGATATATGTGAATGTCATAAATAGCCTGCTGAAAACACTCCTTGGATCATGCTTTTCATTTCAACTGCACCAAGATGGTGAATACATGTGAAATGAAATGAGATCCAGACTGTTCATTGTGAGTCCCATTGTGACATCTTTTGCTGAAGAGTTGTTTACAATTAAAACTATGATCCGTCTTCCAGTGAGTAAGTCTGGAAGATGTTGTGTTTCTTAAAAAAAAGAAAGAAAAAGAAAGATGGAATGACAAGAATTTAGAGAGAACTAGAGAGAGAAAGACTTGACTATGAACTCTATGGTATAAGGAAAGTGATGATATATGAGGAAGGGATGTAAGTGACCAAAAATGTAAATGAGAGAGCCCCTGTGTCATACAGAACGTGGTACCAGATTAGGATCTCAGAGACGCAGGTTTCAGTCCCTACTGTGCCATGGAAGCTGGCTGGGTAACCACGGTCCATCTGCTCATGCTCTCTCTAACCTATCTCAGAGGGCTGTTGTTGTGAAGATAGAGCAGAGGAGGGGAGAATGATGTCGTGTGCCATTTTGGGTCCCTGCTAGGGGGGAAAGCAGGGCATAAATAAATAAGGGGAAATGAAGAAACAACTACATACTGTGAGAGAGTTTAAAATGTCAGGAGCAGAACAAGAAGAGGTTGAGTACAATGGCGGTCTCCTCAAATTCACAGATCACATTCCTCATCAAAAACCAAGATAGATAAAGAAAGAGCCGCCAGTGCAGGCCAGAGTGGCATAAAGCACTGGGTCTGCTTGATGTTAAGTCCCAGGTATACCTGAAATGCTGCTAATGGCTATAAAATTGATGGGGCAGGGCAAACAAGAGGCAGGGAAATGACCAGAGGGCAAAAGGGAAAGCTGAATGGTGTTAGAGAGGCAGGAGTTAGCCATGCCACTGGCTAGTGTGTGAGGCACAAGGAGGGACATTTATTTGTGGTGGCAACAGTCTCCGATATATCAAGAGCTTAGAGTGATGTGCAATGTACAAAGCCCCCTTCCTTCCCTCAGCTTTGCAGTTCAGCATGTCATAAACTTAACATTCAAACCCTCTGTTGCCACACAGAGAGCCTTTAGATGTGACCCACAACAAACATGAGCAATATGCATTTCAGACTTGTGTTCTCCTGACAGACCATGTGCATGTATGGCAGGCACCCAATGAAGAAAAAGGACTCTGCTGGCTGCCGGAAGAGCCCGAAGCAAATTATTTTACCACTGTTAAGCTCTTCTTTGATCATGAAAGTTATTTTCTGCATTGATTTAGCTCTGTGAGGATTTAAATGCGCAAGCAAAAGCTTGCAAGCAAGAATATGATGTGCCCACATTAGTCAGTAAACAGCACAATGACTGGCTGTTCTTCTTCTGGACTTTAGCAAGTATGGTTGAATAGGAGAATCAAAACCCAAAATTCACTACTGAGTAGAAAATGCTATAAAAAGACCTGTCATCTGAGCTTTAGTTGTCTGAGGCTGTCATGCTAATGTGCTCTCTTGGAGGCAAGCCTCACTGAAATTTGTTAGACTTCCTTCTGATGTTAGCACAGAACTAAAGATTGCCTCTGTAGTCCCAAAAGTGTCTACCGAGTAACAGCAATTGAGGGGGGGGGGGAGGAAACAGTGGGGAGGTAAGGGCGATTAATGCCTCCTTCTCCTGCAACCTCTTCCCTAACCACTTTTTAGCCAGCTAAGTTCATTTCTGTCCTTGAAACACAGGAGGGGGGAAACGGCTGGGGGTGGGGAGAAGGGGAGAATTGGCCGGCAGGGCAGGGTTTAAGCATCACCACCCTCCCTCCGGTTCACCCCTAAAATTCCTTCCATCACCACACAGCAAACACATATATGGAAACTTTGCATTTCTTGCATTGTGAGTAGTATTTCCCTAAAGGTCAGGTGCTTGGTTACCTAGACTAGTAAGAGTTCATCATATTTGAAAATCAGAGTGCAGGTGACTCCTAAGAACATTTCCCACATCTTATGCACTATGAAGCACCATTTTTTTTAACCCTGAGAACTTTCATCCCATTGAATAAAGTAGGACTTACGTCTGAGTAGATGTGCTTAGGTTAGCTCTCCCTCTCACATACAGCAAAAAGCCTCAGCTAATATTAGTTCTATCTGTTCTTATACTTGCTTTTTCACACATAAACACCTATTGTGGTCATTTGTGAAATGTATTTCAACATGCCCTAAGACATTTTAACATGCACACTTATTTGGGAACAACGCTTGTTGAACTCAACAGGACTTATTTCTGAGTAAACATTCATAAGGATTGGGCTACATATTTGTAGAACAAACTGCTGTAAAAGACAAGGATAAAATTAGGAGATTGGGCATTGGCTGTATCATTTATCTGTTCCTGATACTAAACATTTTTCTAGAGTCGTACAAAACCTTCCAGAGTCCCTCTGCTTATCCTCCCAGACGACCAATCAGTCCATACTTGCTAGAATTTTCCTTTGGAATTTCAGAGTACTTTGTTTGAACATCTGGAAATTGTCACATACTATTGTTGACTGCAAACCTCTGAAGTGTATCCAGCAGAACTTAAGAGACCCAGACTTAGGCAAGAAAAACATCTCACTTATAAGACCATTTGGGAGGAATTACTAAAACGACATCCCCTATGAGACAACAGCAGGGCTCCTCCAAGCCCTTAGGAAACAAGACCAATTAGTCTGTACAAATATATACATAACACATTACCAGCTCTTGTGACCAGTCTTACCCTTCAGCCAATACCAGACCAAGAATTTTGCCACCCAAGTGGTTACACCGCAAGAACCCCTGCAATATCGATACTGTGTGTACCTTCTGGATCATTGCTACTTTGCTGGAGCACTGAAAAGGCATCTGAAAGAAAGTGGCGATTCTGTCTCTTATACTTGCATTGAGACTCACATCTAGTCCTTACCCCCACAACAGGATGAGCCTTTCTTTGGTAGTAGCTGCCCCACATTGCTGGGATCCATCTGTGGGCCTAGGCCACAATCCAACACTGGCTGCTTTTGCACATGTTGGATAATGCGCTTTCAGTGCGCTTTCAATGCACTTTTCATTGCATTATTTTATAATTATTATACTGGGTGTTTTGTTTTCAGTTCTTTTTCTACCAGTCCCTAGCATGAAATTTGCCTTTTCACCACTATAGCACACTGAGTGGCGATTTTCTTTGAGCTACCCATCATGTCCTCAGGATCTTTTTCCTGCTCAGCTACTGTCATTTCAGATCCCATTGATACGCATTGAAAAGTTGGGGGGGGGTCAACTTACACATACACACAGACCTTCATTTGCCACTTTGCTACCCACTCATCCAGTCTGCAGAGTTAAAAACAGTTTGCTGCTGCTGTCACGCCAATAAGCATAGTTTTCTCAAAGGGAAGAGATTCTGCATATTTTAATGAAAGATAAAACAACAATATAAACATACACAAATTTACAGAGAAAGGATCAACTTTAATACATTTGGAGTAAAAGGTGTTCTTTTTTTAAAATATGGTATAAAAATAAATGCAAGAAACATTAACATAGAATGTACAGACGACAGACAAAGACACTGGCTTTCTTTCTCAATGTGAATACACCTGTGAGATGGAACCTTCTGTGCTAATTCATTGTGCAATAGCTGTGATGCCATAGTAAGTATATTTATGAATATATTCAAATTTGTTTTACACATCTTCCAGTTTGTGACTGACAGTATTGTAAATAAACTGTGCCTGACGGAAGCTTTTTTTCACTGTACTTGAACTTGCAGAAAATAAAAAGAGACAGATCCAGCTTGATATGAAGGCGAAAGTGAGCAGAGAGTTTTCAAAATGGAGGCATCGAAAGGTTAGCGAGTCCCTTGGCGTCTGTAATGCCTTGATATACACAAAAGAAAACAAGTCAGGTCCTTGCTCATGCAACATCTTGTTCTACTGTCCTCTGATTTCAGGCAATTAGTGAGCTACAAAGTATGTATAATGATTGAGTCTGCTTCCATGCTACAAGGTGATCCTTTTAGTAGGACTGCACTAGACTGGTTAATCTCTTTGATGTGAGCGATTTCCCCTGAGGAAAAGATAAAGAACAAACAAATAAAAGAAAACAGAAGATAGAGGCATAATCACTGAAAACCCACTTCAATGCCAAGCACCGATAGTGCTCGGCAGGTAAAGGCTAACATTTCGCACATCACTACATCCAACCTGGGAAGCCTGCTGTCGGACTAGGTTCAAACATGACCATTTCACTAGCTGATGACTGCGCTGTCAAGGAATGACATGCATGTGTGAATGGACCATCACTGACATGAAACCACAGATGGAACTTCCCTACCACCTCAGATGCAAGACTTTTCTTTCAGTGGAGTCAGTGCACACAAAAGGTTCTCAGTCATTGCCATTTTAGTTACTATAATTCACCTAGTAAACAGTGCAAAGAAATCATGTGACTGTATATGCATGTGTGGGCCAGTGATTTGCTACTCTAAACAAATCCAAGCTCAGTGATGAGAGGACTTTGGCTTTTAGTTTAAAGTGCCACACAATGTACACACTTGAAATCAACAGCCTGGATTTCAAAGTCTTTTCAAAACAACAGTCACTTGAACTTCAGTAGACCACTTGGATCTCTCAGTCAGAATGTGGATCTAACTGCATAACTTTTATTGGCAGTTACCTGTCGACAGCAACCATGATGTGAGTTTCATGGCCAAAATCTGCCCCTCTAATTAAATTTTTGTGGGTTTTTGTTTTGAAGACTGTGAAGTTAACTTTATAAGATTAAAAAAAATGAATATGAAACATCATATTTATTTGAGTCTACTGCTAATATGCTTATGTTTGCAAAGTAGTCTGACAAACATTAGGTGTTAGCTTCAACACTCAGCATTTATCATATGCGTGTATTATGACCATCCACTGATACAAATTTCCATGGTTATAAGCTCATCACAGACTAGCTTTACTCTCCATTTATGGGTGCTGCTTGCATTAACTAGCAATCATGGCAAGAGCCAGTATATGATACACTTCAAGCAACACTTTTACCAAAACTTCAGTTATTGTGCACCAAATGGGCTAATCCTAATGCAAAGCAGCATGTAGATCTGAGCATGATGTGCAGCAGTGATTATTGTTTTAAAAAAGGACAAAATGTGATAGGGGAGTCAGTTATCGGCCAGCAATGTTTTAAAACCAGATATTTTAGAGGAAATAATTTGACTAGGAATTCTTCAGATGTTTTCCTCAACCGCTTTGTCTTTTTAGTCTTCCCTCTGTATTCCCTTACAATAATACCATAAACCATCTGACGTGTTCCTTGCAATGTCTCCAACAATAAAATACTGGATATTAGAGATCGTGGATATTGGCTTGGACCCGATATTTTTCTCCCACTTTTGCAATATTTTCATCTGTCACAGAGTGCCTTTCTCCTGCACTCAATGCTTCCCACTCACATAGAAAGCGCCTAGCACTGGACGTTTTTATTGCATCAGTAGAAGTATAGGATCCAAGACAACATTACATTCCAAAACCAATTGAGATAATATTTTATTCCTCCTGCCAGTCATTCTGCTTTTTGAGATTATCCTAAATTAGCTTTTCCCAGCAAACACATGTTCTACAGTGCTCAGATGCTTTTTTTAGATGAAAGGGGGCAGGCTGCAGAGGAGCCCAGCTAATACTACCACTCAGTTCGGCAAATTTCCTTGATGAGGTTCTCTATTATTACTCCATTTCTTGTTGAAATCAATGGGATAAGTTAGTCATGACTAAGTTAAAGCCTTGCTGGTTTTAACAGCATTTAGATGCCATTAACTATATTTGAACTAGGACTGAAAAGTAATAGCAACTACATAGCAATTACACAATTGGTATATTAGCAATGGACAAACCACAGAAAAAGAGGTTCACTGCTTTTATTATTGGTGGGAAGACATGGATTTCCCAGCACTCCATTTTAAAAAAGTTATTCAGTTATTTCCAGTAGCAGAAAACCCAAATGCTGCAGTGTGAATACATGCTATAATTACCTGTCAATCTACAAACCTATTAAGCAGCCTTACACTGACCCAGCCAGCTTCCTTTTGTCTTTTGAAGGCAGAGAATTCAAGAGGGTAACTATATTCTTCCAAGAATAGGAGAGTCCTATTGGTAGTAGGTCAATGCTGTGAACCTGAATTCTATGAATCTCCAAGAGAGGGGCCCAAATTAAATTCCTGTAATCCCTGGTTAAAAATGTCAAGAGAAAGGTGTTTTCCCAGCACTGGTATCTAAGATCATTTTAGCTGGGGTTTGACAGGAACTGAACTGCTGACTTTGGATACTGCAAAGCATATTTTTGCCACTGAACTAGGTTCTCTCCCTCTAGCTGAATGTATGTCTATTTGTTTGATATGTCTATCATATAACATATAATTTGTGATGTTTGTAGTATCTATCACTTTAAATAAATCTCTTCCTGGGAGAAAAGTTACTATCTTGAATACCCTTGGAACTATGACATTAGGTCAAATCTTCATTTCTTTTTCTTCTCTCATGTTCTTTGTATTGCTTTTTGACCCTTTTCTCTCTGTGTGAAAGAGCGCATAAGTACTTCTGAAACAGTGTCTTGTAATTCCCTGAAAGTACTGCAGTGTATTGTACCACTGGCTTGGCCTGGCTTGATATTTGGGTATTTGGAATGGCAAAAAAGGAGAAAGACTGTGTCCTGGACTAATGAGGACTGCAACTGGCTGACTGGTTGGAAAAAGGAAATATGCTGGTCGTGAGTTTGTAACACTGGGCTATGGATTTAAAATCTCATACTAGGCTTCAATATCTATCGGCACTTCAAATAATAATTAGATTGGCTAAAAGAGAAGCACGAGGCTGACACATATGACGTTAAGTGTCTTTGAGAACACACAAAAAGGGGGTACAGGATCATGTCCATCAGCACAAAGCATCTGAATTCTGCACAAAAGTAGGTTTTTTCCCTGTGATTGGGAAATATGTTTTGGGCAGGATCAGTGCATGAAATCCTGCTTCTCCTTTTATGCATATTCCTAGCATGTCCTTAGGTAAAAAGGCCATAACTCTTCCTCAAAATCCTGTGCTCCAGATGGTGAAACTGGGTAGAGGAGAGAAGAGCCGACATGAACAGAATGGACTGAAAGAGCATAACCCTTCAGTGGCTACTGATTTCTCATTACACTTTGGAATGAATGGTCAATTGTCATAACTTTTCTTGTCTTGTCTTTCTCTTAGGCGGCAAAACCATTTTGTAACAATTATCCCTGCCCAGTTGCAGCTTTAGCCCACTGTGGCATAAGCAGAACTAGTGTAGATTGGCTACATTTGATTCTTTATGATTTGAACCACAAACCTAATGTGCTCATGCAATCCTCCCATCACATCCTTTCTGTCCTGCATCAGGTTAGGCAGTCAAACTCTGGCGAACCCCAGCATACTTGGGATAGGGATATCACACGACCATGTTACATCATTTATACCCCACCTTCCTCCCCATTGGGGACCCAATGTGGCTTACATTGTCCTTGTCTCCTTCATTTTAATCCTCAGAGTCACAACGACCCTGTAAGGTAGGTTAGACGGAGTACGTCCGAGCGACCCAAGGCCGCTCAGAAAGCTTCCATGACAGAGTGGGGATTTGATCCTGTGTCTTTCAGATCCTAGGCTGACAAACCAACCACTACACCACAGGGACTCTTCATGTTTCATGCATTCTTGGCCATGGGGCAGCTAACTCCTAGATGTGCCTGGAGCTGGCAATGTTAACATAGGGTAGGAAATTTGCATTAGTGTACTGCAGCACGTTGGTGGTCATCTTTTGCTTTATAGTCTGCTAGTCATTGCAAAAGGGAAACCTCTAAAACTCTAAGATTACTTGGGTAATCTTAGCCTTTGTTTAATATAGTACCTGGCATCATAAAAAAAGAAAAAAATTCACTCACACACTTTTATTACTATACTGCAACACGCTTATTTTATAAAACTTTTTTCCCCCTTAGACCATACAGAACTCACAGAATAACATGCTGTGGCAAAACCACCATGCAAAAATAGGGGTTTTTGTTTCAAACACCATGCTAATTATTTTTTATAGGTAGGGGCGCAATTCACAAATATGTCTTAGTGTGCAAGACCCAGTGACTGACTGAGTTCTGGATGACAGCATTAAAAAGCCCGTAATCCAGTTTATTTCTTAATTGTATACTGTAATCTAGCATTATTTTGAAACATTCACATTACCCTAAATATCAATTACTAACCACTGCTTTGCCTAATCTTTATTTTGCTTGCACCAAAGATAGTTCCACTCCACCTGTCGCATTGCCTTCATGACAAAACTTAATGGATTTTGGGTGGTGTTTAAAGCCTTGATGATTTGTGGATTATTAAAGTCATGTACGGGGTCAGGAAAAAGTGTTCCATAGGAAAAAAACGGAAAACAAAAACCATGATCTTTGCTGATGCTTTGTGGAAAACCATTTCAACACACACAACTTTAGTAACTGGCTGTCACAGCAAAAGCCACGATACATCACACTTAAATGTGCACACGCACACACACACCACACACCTGCACACATGAAATGCACACAATTCAGCAGACAATGTCAACAAACTGGAGTAGAAGCCAAGATCTTTCTACCTCTTTTCATAACAGGTTAGTGCTCGCCCTCAGTGTTGGTGTACAGTTTTTATGGCATGGGAAAATTGGGATGTTTCTGCCCTACAAAAATAAATGTGTTGAATACTTAGTTTGAACTTGACAACGTTGATAGAAAAAATCGATAGGCACTGGAACATTTTTTTTAAAGGATGGTTTGAGGTAAGAAAATGCAACTTAAGAAGCAGCATTAGCTAGTAAAGGGGAAACCACTGGCTGCCAATGCCAGTTTGGCAAGGTGGAAGAAAGGTCACACCCATAACTAGTGACCATCAGGAGGTCGTGATAGGGCAGAGGCAATTCAGTCAATGATGTGCAGTGGGGTGGATGCTACTTGGCATGGATCGCTAATGTTAGTTATGGCCAGCTAGCCAATCAGCAACCATCCACTTGTACAGAACTAACTGAGGGGGTCCCTCGTCTCGACTGCTGCCTTCTGAGGATTATTAGTAATGGTGGGAGCTCCCCTGTCTCTTGATTGTCTCACTCCCAGAAATTTCCACTAGTCGCCCACTGCCGGTCACCACTGGTGAGAAGGAAGACATCTACAGAGAGTTTAATTCAGAGAGAAAGAGTAGATAAGACAGTGCTGCCTGCTTTAAATCACTCTTTCAGGTTACATAATTCCAAATAATTTCAGTTGAGCCAGTGTTTCAAGCAGTACTTGGTAAACTGGGTACAGGAATCATCCTGAATAACAAACTGAGGAAAATCGTTAACGGTTAAGTCTTACAAGGTTATAAACTTACCACATTGCGTGTGAATTTTTCAAAAGACGTCCGGCGATCCATTGTGTTTCCAAACTTAAAGTGAAAGAAAACAAAAACAAAAAAAATGGAAAGCAAACCAAACAAAAGAAGCCAAAAAGAACAGACTGGGGGACGGGAGGGGAGGGGGAAGCAGCAATGACGCAGAGGGGGCTGCAAAAGTACAAAGCTCATGTACAAATCACAGTGCAAAAGCAAGCATAGTAGAGGGTGCAAAGGCTCACAGAAAAGTCAGAGGAAAAGCCGTTTCACCTTTTCCCCCTGAGGCAGCTGGGCAGTCTTCACACACACACACAAGCACAGGGGCCAGGACTGCCCTTCCGAATATGATCCCTCTCATTTAAAAAAGGCTGCTGTGGGCAGAAGCCCATTCTCTCCTGCACCAAGCCAGGAGTGCACCAGAGTGCTCCTGCATGAGTCCTGCATCTTTGAATGCCTGGCTGGTTCAGTCAGTTGTGACAGCACTGATCACCTGTGAGGTGAAGCATGAGAGGTGGTACATGAGAGGACCTCTGGATCAGGGCCTTTGAAGAGAAAGATTTTTGTTGTCAAACGGATTAAGCGAGTGCCACAGAGAAGAAAGTCAGAAATGACAAAACGATGCGGTGTGGGCTTGCTAAAGGGATAGGTGCTTGCAGAAGCCCAAGCATTTTTCCTCTCAGAGACTCTCAAGCTCTTCCTGCATGATCAGTTGCTTGAGGTACTAATAGCAACGTAAGATGGAGAATGGTGCTTGATTTTGGGCTGTCCTATTGGTATACCAGCTACTAATGATAAGAAGCCAGGCATCCAGGGCACAAATTATCCATTAAGCATCAGTGGTACTTTGGAAAACACGGAGGAAAAACATTATTAACTTTGAAGTTTCATCCTTGTCATGGGCATCATGGAATTAATTGAAAAGCCCTTTGAAAAATGCTCCCTGGCTAGTTTATCTCAGCCTCACAACGTTTTGTTACCTACACCTCTTTTAGCCCTGCCTCAGTGCTATACTGAGAGATTTGAATGTACATAAAAGTGGCAGGGCCAGTTTCTATAGTGGCGACTCCAGCAGCATTCCTGTAAGCCAGATCCGTACAACTTGTTGGAACCCACCACGCTGAATGTAGGCCACCAACCACATACGGCAGGCCACCGGGGGGGGGGGAGCAACCTCCTCTTTTTGCAGCTTGCTAGCAATATGGATAAGGCAGTTTGCTCCTGTGTTGGTCCATAGTTTTAGTTTTCCATTTTTTTGCAGCTGGCTTTGTAAATGTTTTTGTTGGATATGAATGCTGTACTATTTTTGCATACATCTACACATGTATGTGAGGAGTAAAACCAGAGGGTTAAATTTCTGGAAGCCAATTAAACCTAACAGCTGAGCAGCAGGGTCCACAGCTCAGCTGTTAAGTTTAAATGGCTGCCAGCCATTTAACCCTTTGGTTTTGCTCCGCACAACTTTGAAGGGGGGAGTGAAACCAGAGGGTTAAATGAAGCCCCTTCCTGAGCAATCACCCCCCTTTCTCCTGTCCACAGCTTGCCGTGACTGGGAGAGAGGGGGAAGGGAAGCCTCTTCCCGGGTGATCTCCTCCCTTTCTCCTGGCTGCAGTGAGCCGCAGCCATGAGAAAGGGGAAAGCGAAAATGAAAGCACTTTCCAGAAGATTCCCCCTGTTCTGCCATATCCCAAACTTGCCGGACTGGCTCGGTTCAGGGTTCGGACTGTGAACCGAACCATGCCCATTCCTAAACCAAACTTAAACTGATCATTCTGTCACTCCCCAAAATCCCCACTAGATGTCTTCTTAAACACTGGTGTACCTTTGGCTACCTTCTAATCATCTGGTAAAGAGACTGATTTAGACATAAGTCGCATATTTCAAAAACAAAAATGAGCAGTTTTTACATTTGAATTCTCCAAGACCTCTTTGGTTAAGGTCATGCAACCCCATGACTTATTACTTTGTAATCTGCCAGCTAACTTTAAACGTTTATCATTCACCTCTCTACTTTACCTAGCCCTTCCAATGCCTTCACCCCACCCCAACAATGCTTCAGATCATGGAGTTTATTTTTTTCACAGTGAAGAATGCAAAGTATTCGTTTAATTTCACTACATCTCCCTGTCCTTGTTCAGTAATCCTTTAATGCATAAAGGTCCTACTGTCTACCTGGCTGGTTTCCTGTGCTTCATGGATTAGAGTTCATTTCAATGGGACAGGGGAGCTTCTCAACAGATCTTGCCTAGAGCTAGAATGCCCATTTGTAATGGTAATCTAGCATGATAAAGCGATAGATGTAATGTAAAGAGAAACAGAATCCCCCAAAACCTATAAATCATGGGTTAACTCTCTATAGTCTTAAATGGTTTTACTTTAGGCCCCGGTCACACAGGCCGGATAACACAGGGGGGAGGCGTGGCTAATTGCTCCGGTGCAACACAATCCAACGCATCGGCGGCAAACCACGGGTCCTGTCCTCCCCACCTGCGCATTAACAAGGGGCCGGCGCGATCACACCGCAGGAGTCCGGAGGCAGCCCGTGGCAAACCGTTTGCCAATACATACGAGGTACTGTTTTTTAATTGCGCTTTTTTTTGGCAGTATGCCACGGGTTGGCCACGGGTGTGTTGCGGTGTGATCGTGCCCTGATAATCCACCCACCACCCATGGCTCTCCCGCGGCAAATTCGCCGTGTGACCAGGACCTTAATAAGGCAAAATTATGCATATAGCAACAATTAGTAGTTCTCTAAAAGACAGAAATATATGACTGTCACAAGTAGTGATGGCACTGAAGTTAAAGGAGGGGCTCACAATCATAAACTCATACATTGATGGTTATGAGTAACCCAAGATGATTATGAATTTGGTCCAAACTCCTGATCAAGTTTAGTGTCATGCCTGCCCCTGCTGATGACCCTGAGGAGGCACCTGCCAGCCAGGAGCATGTGGAATTGACACCACAGGCTCCTGAGGAACGTACTGCAGCAGAGACTTATAGACAAAGACTGGCTCCCGTGGCTGAAAGCTCCCTAAGTGATGAGGAGGATAGAGCCTCCCAGGAAACACCTGCACAGGATCAGGCTTTGCTGCAGCACAGAGATTCCTCGCCCGATTCACCACCAGCTGTGACCAGGCTTCGGAATCAACGGAGACAGGAGCTGAGAGATCGACGCCGGGATGCACGCATGCGTGCAAGACGATCTCTCAGCCCTGAGTATTGACTGGACCATGACCTTCCTCCCTGCCAGCTAACGAGTTAATTAGCCAGCACTGTATATCTTCAAGCCTGTTGCTGGCAGGAACTTGTGCTGGCAAACGTCTTTTGACAGGACCTACTCCGTGTATCTCTGCTCCAGAACTCTTGTCGTCTTGATCCTCGGCTTTTGACCCTCGGCTTCGTTGACCCTGCTCTCGTCTCTGACTCCTCTGGCATCGTTTGGATTTATGGACATTGAACTCTGGTATGTCTGACCCTGGCTTTGGATTCTGATTTAAACCTGTTTGAACTTTGCTGCTTGTCTTACTTGTCTTGACTTCGGACTGCTCTTGGACTTTGCTTGCCTGCATCACGCCCCCTGGCCCTGCCGTGACATTTGGGGTGGACTCATACAAAGTTTACCCAGAACCATCAGTCTCTGTCACCATACCTGTCCCGTCTCTTCCCATTTACGCATTCCACACACCAGGGAGCTCAGGATAAGAATGCTCCAGGGCGCCCAAGTCCTTTGCACAGTGTTCAAATTATGGTGGCAATGTCAGAGCCCTTAGTGAAATCTACAAACCATCCTTTGTGCCCCAATAATTTTAGTTGAGCCTTGTGATCCTTACTAGCCACAACCCCAGCTCTGGTCCTTCAGGGTGCTGTGCAAATTATCTATGCATAAAAAAACCATCCCTGGCAGCAATAGTCGTCTTCCCTTAGTTTTCATGGCACTTCCAACGAGACGGGATCCAGAAAGAAAACTTTCCCCCAATGTTGGAATCACCCAGTGGAGACCTATGCTTCAGGGGAGGTATATAACTTAATAGTGACACTGCCCCAGCTATAAGATAAGCAGGTTTAAGGAACAGGCAGGAAGGCTTTTCATTTGCCTGGAAAGTACCCTCAGCCAGCCAGTGAACAAGGATTAAGGCAGCTGAGTTCCTTGGGTGTGCAGCCTGCAATTCACAGCTGGGAAACATGCTGCCTTCTTCAGTCAGGCACAAAGCCACAGAGGATCATGGTGAAAGTGCAGAGGTCCAGAAAGGATGGCCCTGTGGAGTCCCTAAACAAAGCTAGGGGGCAAATCGTGTATCTTCTGTCGACATCTGGAAACATGATTGAAGAAGACCATCACAAAAGGTAGGAAGAAAAGGCCTCACTGGCTTCTGTGATCTGAGGACTACCTTTGTTTGGACATTCTAGAAATGACATGCTCCATAGCTCATCACAGATAACAAGTTTTCCTGGGATATGTAGTTTCTAGAGCATGTGATATTCATGCTGAAGATTCTGGTTGCCTGTATTATTAAGTTCCCTCAGTTTCCTGACATCTGGGAGACTGATGTTGCAGCACTCAGGGTGGGAGGCATTATGCAGAGTACTCTCCAAGGCTTCTCTGTGGCTGCAGGTGCCCCACTGTGGCCCTGTAAGTTTCAGGAAAGAAAGGGCATGCCATGACAGGGATAAGGGAATCTTTGTGGTAGAGATGTATGGGCTGTGTCACACCCTGATGTTACCATCACATGTTTAGTATGATTCTAATACAGAATCGGGCGAAGAAACCCCTGAGCTATTTTATGACTTAAAAAAGAAGAAGAAGAAGCTACTTTGTCTGCTGAGCCCAAATCCAAATTGAGCTGGGAAGTTCAGGAGGAGGAGGAGGAGGAGAGGAGGAGATTGGATTTATACCCCGCTCTTCACTTGGAGTCTCAGAGCGGTTTACAAACTCCTTTCCCTTCCCCTCCCCACAACAGACACCCTGTGAGGTGGGTGGGGCTGAGAGGACTCTGACACAAACTGCTCTTTTTCAAGGACAGCTGTGCCAGGGCTTGAGACTGAACCAAGGTCACATCAGCAGGTGCAAGTGGAGGAGTGGGGAATCAAACCCGGTTCTCCCAGATTAGAGTCTGCGCACTTAACCACTACACCAAACTGGTGTTCAGTCCATCACTGCACATAAACTACTTCCCAGATTTGGCCCTTGGTCCAAGAAGACTTGTATATTTTGAATGCCACAACAAAACCAATTAAATCAACTTATCAAGCACACACACACAAAAAAGCAAAATAAATACATGCATAGGCACATGTAGTATTGGTTGATGCACAGAGTTAGCTAACTTCACCTACCAGATATTCAGTTGAGTTACCCAAGGAGAGCATGTAGCCACTAAGGTAGTTAAGGAGAAGCCACCACTGAAAGAGTAGAAATAAATATGCAAGATGGACCAATACCTTCTTCTTGGCCTGTAGTAGTTCCTGGTAGGCACTGGATCGTATAAAACGAGGATATGAATCACTTTTCATCAATTTGTAAATGTGCTCCTAAAAGATTTTTAAAAGAAATAAAAATTTAAATCACCCCTTTGAACAGGTATCACTTTTTGCTAGGATACATTTCAAGATTCACAGATTATAATGAATTCAGGTGGGTCTGAAGCAACAGAACAAAGTTTGAGTCCTGTGGCACCTTTAAGACCAACAAAGTTTACTTCTGGGTAAAGTTTTCATGTGCATGCACACTTTGTCATACACATTTTCATGTTATATTAATATGCAACATGTATCTATAGCTGTATGACATGCTGACACACTGATGCCATTGCTATGTTTCTGCTGTGCTGGGGTTGAAGCCTCGACATAGTATTTGAGAGCTATGCAAAGTGATTTTTCCAACAGAGAAGAGGTAGACAATCCCTAGTTTTGCAGGGCCATGTGAGTTGTTCCAGCAAAAATTCATTGCAAGAATCGTTGTGAGGGTCTTACTGGCAGCTTATCTAGCTCACTTCTACAAGATTCTAGAGCAGCTGTTATAATGCATACTTCTCCTTGCTCTGCAAAAGCTTCAGGTATGACTGGTGGTTTGACTTGCTCTGTACAGACTGTGCGTTAGCCTAATTGCCTTAATTGCTTATTAATGTGGGGGAAGTTATGATTATTAATTGGCAATGGGCAAATTAGGGAGCGAACACCATTGTATACAGAGGTCCCACCTTTCCAGTAGTTACCAGTAATGAACACGGAGACTGGATTCAGTATAAAATGATGTCTTTTACTGAAGGATACTTATCATTCAAACAATATACAAACGTGCACACACTTATACAGATTCTAGGAAAGATCGATAATAAGCACATTCGCATTAGCAGGGTATTCGTTGTTTGGGCAATAGTTACCTGTCCTTGCTGAGTGAACCGTTCCAATGGAAGAAGGGAGGGGAGAATTAAATGGAAGAAGGGAGGGGAGAATTAGATATAAGGAACGTGTCCTGAACCGGCAGAAACACGTGGGACTCTGGCTGCAGACCTAGAGTCAAAGATGGAGGGAGGGTGTTGGGACAGCAAGCTGGATGTAAGAGGGGTAAAGCTTAGATAGGGGTTGTAGAAGAGAGCGAGTATGTGGTCGGGTATCACCTTTTGTAAGGTGTGGGGGGGCAGGCTGGACTGGCCACATCCCCATGTCACACCTCCTGTTAGTCCGTCCCTAAAACATACTATTGGGGTAGAAGGAAAAGGGGAGGGGAGCTAGGGAGTGGTCAATATTGAGAACTAGTAACTTAGACTGGGGACTGACACCTGGATGTAGAGGAAATGAGTAATCGGGCTAGGGCTATTGTCTCTGGATGGTCCTAGCCAGGTCGTTGATGGGCGAGCAATTAGTTGCCAAGCAACCGTGTGTAGATCCTCTTGGTTACATGAAGGTAGATGGGGGGGGGACAGGGGTTGCCTGTGTGTGTCAGAGGTGTTTGGAGCTCTTTGTCCTTGTGCCTTGGCATGGCATGGTGTTATGCAGGCTAGGGAACTGGTCCATCTCACAACAGGTAAGAGGGCAGGTGACCTGAAGAACCACTGGAACAGCAACACAAAAGGAAGGTTTTCTTCTCTCAGGTGTGCAGTCTCAACTGGCATCATATTGGGTCACCATGCAGTACAGTCCCTTAAGCATACCTTTGCACAGTTCATTTTTTTAATCACTTATGGGTTATAGTCCATAAGAGCACATTAAGTGCTTTGCAGGGCAACATGTGTAAGGAAAATATTTATGCATTTCTCTTAAATAAAAAATTAACAGTATCATAGGTGGCAAACACATAGGCCACTGATTTTCAACATCCAATTTTTAAAAACCATAGATGATTTCAGGAGTAATGTTATGCTTTGAACTAATGGGTGCACTGTCTCAAAATGTCCATGAAGTCAGAATTTCCTGCTTGCAGACTGCAAAATTATTCTAATCTGGTTGCCTTGGGGGACTATGTCAGAAATACAGTCAACTCCACAGGCACTGCAATCAAGCAGTCCTCTTCCATATAACATGAGAAGGTTTCACATGTGGATTGCACATGTGGAGCATGCGAGTCTTTCTCAGAGAAACCAGGCTAAACATATTTTAAAATAAACAAACAGCTGTGGGATAATGTTATACAGGAAAAAGAAGTGACCCGCTATTCTGACTTCCATGTGTGCACACTTGCAATGAAGTCCCACTACATACAGGTAACACAGGAATGTCACATACAGATCCTTTCCATTAACCCATTCTGTGCAAATGAGCAAACCCAATCTAAGCTGCTTCTGGACACAACACACCAAAGATAATAGGGAACCCTTAGCGTAAAAGTATAGCCACAAACAACACCCACCAAGGGAAGACCATCTACAATTCACAACTATATTCAAAACTATATATTACATTCACTGAAATACAAAGAAGGGTTAGTGGTCACAACCCAATAGAGTGTATAGACATTGATCCAACAGATTGCTCAGAATTAAACATAGTCTACAAAAAGAACATATTCAAAACCAACAGTAGGCTCCTCTGTAATTCCATACATAGATAGTGTCCATAGACCTCCAAAAAGAAAGTAACTGCCGCAGAAGACTCCCACTGTGGAAAGAAAAACAGCCAGACGCCTCTCCCAGGTATAAATCAAGGCGTTTCAATGATCTTCAACAGAGACTGGTAAAACAGAACCCAATTTCCAAAATAACATAGGCACAGCTCAAAACAGAAGTTAAGGGATGGCTCTACTCAGAAACGTAATCATGGAATATGATCATCTGAGCATAGGGTTGCTAAGTCTTACCTGCTGTCGGAGCAGGGGACTCCCGGCTCGCTCCTGGAGTGCACGAGTGCGCCACAACCATGTCACCCGGAAGTGATGCGACCATGCCGGGCATGCTGGGGGGCGGGGCCATGACCATCCGAGGGAAAACCATAGAGTTTTCCCTCGGATGACCGTGGCCCTGCCCCCAGCCTGCCCGGTGTGGTCGCGTCACTTCCGGGTGACGTGCACGTCGGGTGCTTTGGGGGTGGGGTTCCCCCGGGGCCCGATCCACCGGTGGCGGGGAACGGGCCTCTGGGGCGGGGGGTTTCCCGCCCCCCCCGGGGGGCTTGGCAAGCCTATCTGAGCAGGCCAAAATATATTTCCCAAAGTTTTATGGTTCTTGTTTATACAGTGCTCTTGAAGTACAGGGTGTTTCACAAACATTTATAGGAATGAATGAATAAGCAACTCAATCACTAATCTCAAGGAATTTACAATTTAAACTAATCAACAGAAAAAATAAGAATGGAGAAGATGGAGAGAGAGAAAACACAAGGGATGAATGTGAAATATGTTCAAGGGGCTACTCCCGTAGTCTCACAAAAAAGGCGGGTTTTGAGGGAGGATTTGAGGTGGTGCTATATACAAGTTCAAGGAAGCAGTTCCACAGAATGGAAACACACTTTGAGGCATTTTAAGAAGCAAGGCAGAATACAAGTCTTTTAAATAAATTAAAAAGTAAATAGCAAATGAGGATGCATGAGACCTTTGGACACCTGAGAGTTGTACAGAAATGATACACTGTAACTCAGGCATGCTAAGAAACACCAGACGTAAGACAAAGTGGAGTATGTCTCTGGAGAATTTTTAAAGGCAAGAACAAATTGTTTGTGAGAGATAAAGTCATATCTCAGGATAAAAGTCCTCTTCTATTTTTACACACACACAGAGAATTACCTTCACCAATTAGCCAATTCCTATTTTTTAGGAAATGTTTGGCTGCATCCACCACCAAATACCAAATGCGATACAAACTAGTATAAAACCCTCTATTCCAATGCCATGTATCAGCACATTACCCACCACAGTCAGGATGAACAGGAGGTTTGTACAAAAACTATGAATAAAGGCAGCCATCTAGTGGCCTAAAAGGAACTTAGTACTAACTGTGTATATCTTGCATGTTTAAGGAGTATGGAAGTATTTTAGTTTATCAGAATTGCTTCCAAGAGAAAAAACTTGATTTGCTCATTGTGGTGAATTAAAGAAACAGACAATGTTTTTTAGGAAACGTGCCAAATATATGAGATGTTGCCAATCTACAGTTGTTAGAGAGTGTACAGTGCCCAGCAAACCCAGTGCCTTTGTAGCAATCCTAGCTGATGTCAAGCACAGAAGCAGTACTCTTAAATACATTCTGTCACCAAGCAGGATAAGGATGGCTTGTGGCATGGCCATAAATTAAGACATTCTTAGGTCTGTGGGCTCTTCTTGTGGACATGCTGAAGGAATATACTCCCCTTCCTTTCCTAGATTCCAGTCCAGCAGCATCTTAGAGAGCAACAAGATTTTCAGGGTATAAGCTTTCGAGAGTCAAGCTCTCTTTGTCAGATAAGAGATGTCAGATATCTGACAAATATCTGATGTAGCAAGCTTTGACTCTTGAAAGCTTATACCCCGAAAATCTTGTTGCTCTGGACTTGAATCCAACTTTTCTACTGCAGCAGCATCTTAGAGAGCAACAAGATTTTCAGGGTATAAGCTTTCGAGAGTCAAGCTCTCTTTGTCAGATAAGAGATGTCAGATATCTGACAAATATCTGATGTAGCAAGCTTTGACTCTTGAAAGCTTATACCCCGAAAATCTTGTTGCTCTGGACTTGAATCCAACTTTTCTACTGCAGACCAACATGACTGTCCTTTGTAACTATCCCCTTCTTTTGGAAACTGAAACCAAACAAGATCTATTTCCCCAAAGCAAAGAGCCAATCATTGCTTGCGTTCACGTCTTGGATGCAGGAGCTACTCTTGAAGAGTCCAAGAGGCAGGGGTCATCTCGTAGAAACAGAGCTGCAGGAGCTCATTAGCATAACTCATTAGCATAACTTATTTGCATGTGCCACACCCCCTGACATCATTGGAAGTGTGTCAGAAGGTGGACTCTTTGCATTGCCACCTATGGGGGGGGGACATGCAGATCTGCCCTCACAGAGAGCTTCTGCCTGAATAAGCCTGGGTCTTAAAGGTGCCACTGGACTCCTTGCATTGCTACCTATGGGGGGGACAGGGCCTGTAGAAGGTGAGGGGGCTCTGAAGACCTTCTACAGGGCCAGCGCTCCAGCACAGGGCCTGTAGAAGGTGGGGAGGTGGCGGAGGAGGTTCGAAGGCCTTCTACAGGTCCTGCGCTCAGGCACAGGGTCTGTAGAAGGCAGGGGTGGTGGTGGTGGGGCCTCTGAAGGCCTTCTACAGGTCCAGCGCTCCGGCACAGGGCCTGTAGAAGGTGGGGGGGGCACCTCGGCAGGCCCCGGGAGGGCTCCGCAGGGAACTTACCTGCCTGCTGCTTTCTCCTCGTGTCCCGACTGAGAGCAGGGGGTGGGGCTGGGAGCAGGGGGTGGTGGCGGGGGGCCCTCCGAAGGCCTTCTACGGGTCCTGCGCTCCGGCACAGGTCCTGTAGAAGGTGGGGGTGGTGGGGGGGTGGGCCTCTGAAGGCCTTCTACAGGCTCTGCGCTTCAGCACAGGGCGTGTAGAAGGTGGGGTGGGGGTGAGGGGGCCTCCGAAGGCCTTCTACAGGCCCAGTGCTCCAGCACAGGGCCTGTAGAAGGCAGGGGGTGGTGGTGGTGGCCTCCGAAGGCCTTCTCAGCCCATGCGCTCCAGCACAGGGCCTGTAGAAAGGGTAGGCACCTCGGCAGGCCACAGGAAGGCTTTGCAGGGAACTTACCCGCCTGCTGCTTTCTCCTCATGTCTTGGAGAGATGGAAGTGTATCTAGCCAATCCTAGATCAAGATGAGGAGCCGCTCCTAGATGGCTTTTTGCTATGCTGAGACTCCCTGTGCCCCTACTCCCTATGCCCCTACTGGCCAGAACTGCAGTTTAAAAATAAAAGGAAGACCTTAGATTGGACTCCGCATGAGGCTGGCTTGAAGCACCCTCCAGCTGACTTCGGAAGACTGAACAGGGAGTGGGGCGTTGGTACATCCTGTTGGTACGCCACTGATAGCAGGAGTGGAGATCTGGCCGTCTACTATAGCCATGCTCACTATTCTTCCAGTTCTTTCTGGTAGGGATACCAATCTCCAGTTGGGACCTGGGGATCCCCTGGAATTACAGCTCATCTCCAGACTATAGAGCTTGGTTCCCCTGGAGAAAATTGATGCGTTGGAGGATGGGCTCTGTGGCATTGAACGCGACTAAGAACATAAGAACATAAGAGATGCCAATGTTGGATCAGGCCAAAGGCCCATCCAATCCAACAGTCTGTATCACACAGTGGCCAGAAATACCAGTGCCATCAGGAGGTCCACCAGTGGGGCCAGGACATTAGAAGCCCTCCCACTGTTGACCCCCCCAAGCACTGAGGTCCCTGTCCTCCCTAGGCTCCATCCCCTAATCTCCAGGAGTTTCCCAAGTGGGATCTGGCAACCCTAACCACCCATCCCTTGCTGGTGACCAGAGAGGACCTAGCAGCCCTATGTCTGAGCCACTTGCAAAGGTCCTGCCAAAAGCAGGCCACCCATAAAACGGATACCTTATTGATACAAATGACAAGTCATATATTGAGCAAGGGATAAACATTCCATTTAAACACAGACCACATGTGGGCTCCCATTGTTATTGGCTGAACCCTGACCTCTTCATCAAGGACAAAGGAATTGCTCAAGCCACATGTTATAATCCTGACAGCTCCATACATTGGAAAGGTAAATGGCTTACAACTGTTTTGATAAAAAATATTCCATGGATACAGATCTTTTCTGATATGTCTTATACTCATCTTGGAGGACAATACTACTTCAAATCTTGTGCATTCTTTTTGGTTTGTTGTATTCTAATTGCATGGAAAACAGCTGTATTTTAAATTACTACATACATTTCTAGTTAGTAAAATCTGAATCATGTATAAAACCTAGCAAATTTGATATATAAGAGCCTTTCCCATCCCTAGCAGAGAATTCTTTGAAAATTGGTTCTTTGGATTTAGGGCTGTTTGAAGAACACTGTATTTTTCAGATTCACAAAATAAAATATCTGTTCTGAAGTCTAGCATACAGTATCAGCTCAGTCCTTCAAAAAATACTAATTACTCTCAAAGACCATTGCTTCTGCTCCATTATCTTGTTAATGGTAATCCAAATTCAAAATTATTACAACCACTTATACAGTGGGAAATGAATGGGGAAGATAGCATGGAGGAAATAAGAGATAAAAGATGGGAACATCTGTACTTATGTTTGATTCATTTCTGAAGAAGCTACTCTTGTGAGTTAAGAAATTATTTTTAGGAGAACAAAAAATGCAAGGATGGGAGGGCTAGATCCTAGTGCAAAACCCTAACCACTACAACATATTGCTCACTTTTTAAATTATGTGTTGAATGATTACAACAGATCTTGTTGACCTTAATTAGTACAAACAGGCATGTTATGTGAATAATGTTCAGTCTGTCAATAATAACTTCAGAGAATTTTAGATGAAAACAGACTAGAAAACCAGTCAGGTATCTAACTGTACTACATCTTCACAGCCAACAGACTATTCGGATGTAGCTATGAACCAGTTATACTCACCTGAGCATGACCAAAAGTATATCGGCCAGCTTCCTTCACATTCTGTGTGGTTTTGTCGTAACTTTTTGAATCTAGGTTAATGGCACTCGGGGCTCCAGGTGCAAGAAATTCTTGCCAGATTTCCTGGACTCTGGCAGGGACTTCCCGTATTGGTCTCCTTTTCAAATCTTCTACCGCTAACCAGAACCTATACAGGAAAACACAGAAGGGTATGTTAGGGAATTGGCCACAAAAGCATTTATTTACTTATTTTAATTTTTAAATATGGTATTAAAATAATTTTGAAAATTTATTGAAGCACAGCAGTATCAGTCCAGAATCCTATGTTTTATTTTACTTCATTTATACCACACCTTTCTTCCTAGTGGAGTCCCAAAGTTACTTACATGGTTCTCCTCCCCTCCATTTTATCCTCACAACAACCCTGTGAGGTAGGTTAGGCTGAGAGTATGTGTCTGGTCAAAGGTCACCCTGCAAGCTTACATGGCAGAGGGGGGATTCAAATATGGATCTCCCAGATCTCAACACTGTAACAACTACACTGTGCTGGCTCTCATTCGCGTATCTGCACATGTGGAGACGTCAGCCCAGCTGGGTTCACTGTGCTTGTGGGAGCCCATGGCTGCCTACACACACAGCCCTGCACTGCCTTCTCCCGCCATCCAGTTTAAACCACCCAGCCGGGCTCGCTGTGCATGCAGGGAACTCTGGTTTGCTTTTCTTGATAAAACTTTCTACGGTTGCTTCTGCATGGAGCTTGGTGTAATACATGTCTTGTCACAGAGGAAGGGGTAAACACAAAGGCTGCAGAGATGATCATATTCTTATTAATTCAGTATGGCTCCTAGTATGAAAATTATAAACTGAACATAACGAAGGTGCAAAAGTGCGAGTCTGTGGCCCATTTAAATGGAAGGTGCTTGCTGGATGCTACTGCACAGCTGTGATAGGGCAATCGTGTAAAATTTTTAAAAAACCTTTGGATGCCACACCCCACACATCTCAAGTGATGTGCCACCCCAATTAAAAAAAACCTGGGGGGGGGGTTTTGTAGCTGCATAATGAATACACCGGAGGAAAAAGAATGGCGTGTAAGGTGGGAACAGAATCTGAAGTCAAGCTTAAAGGTTTACTGCTTGGAAAATCTGCAGTAAACTGCGCGTGCATAAAAGGTTGTGAATGGAAAATCAGTGATTTCCTTACAATTAGCAATAGCACTAGTCCTGTTGCCAAGCCTAGAAGTCCATCTGTGTTTTAACGTCCATGACTAGTTCTTTACTAGAAAGATAGGGTACATGTTCAGAAAGGATAGATGTGCTTTTAGAATACCACAGGATTATCTGTTGGAACGGGGCAGTTAGATCCCAATTTGCATTCTAAGAAGGGAGGCTCATTGGCTGAGCTGAGAGGAAACTGAATCCCAGTATCAATTTTACCATTTGGCCAAGCTGCCCAGTGCCCTTGATGAATTATTGCTAATTTTCCCTTGGTGGGCTAAACGACTTTAATCCAGACTTTTGCAATGATTGGTCAAGAGTCAGACAACTAGGTGGGAAATTTTCAGCCTGCACCCTAAAATCTGGTTGGCCCCTGAAGGAACTCCCAGGCTATAGAAAAGTCCATAAATATGTGAGCCTCGATTGAAGATCTGTCTCAACACACTGGGAAATATGGCACAGACCTTGTCCATCAGTATAAAGTTTCTGGAACTGGATGGACAAGATCTGACAATCTGTGTCTTCATCTTGTACCCAATTCTAGGAAAAAGAATGTAGATAGTCTTGTAAATATAGAATGAGCTAGCAAAATACTTTTCATGTTCCTTTGTAGTGTTCCGTCTAAAGTCTGCATGTCTATAGTGTGTAGCAGTGCTTCCTCGGATTTATGTGTAGTTATTAAACTCTTGTTATACCAATGCTCTTTGGTTTGGTTACTAAAAACTGGTTGGAAGAATCTGACCTTTCACTATATGTTACACTGTAGAGTGAGCCAGAGCCAAAGGACAAGGTGAGAGAGAAACAAAGACATTCAGAGGTGGGGAGAAAGAAACAGGAAGCCCTTCCAAACCCTCACTCCCATGCAATACACGTACATACAGATAGACTACTAGTTTGCAGGGAAGCCAGAATCACTAATAATGAGAGAAATGTGCATGCACACTTCTTCAGATAAATTGAAAGAGATATCTCCAACCATTACATATAGGCAGAAGGTGCGGAGGGCATTGTCAGGAAGGGCTAATTAGAGTCAAGTTGCATAAGTAACTGAGCAATAAATATAACTAAGATTGGATGAAGGCAATTGGCAAAACCTGTGAATAGCAGCAAATTAGCATACAGCATAATAAAGCAGTTTACAAACAGATGCGAGAACTGAATGTTAGCATGTGAAGTGAGATAAGAAACCAATATCTCTGTTAACCCCAGAGGGTTCCATTGTTCTGAGTACGGATGGGCATGAGCAACATTTCTGTGGCTCAATTTGTGGTTGGTAGCTGAGCCATGAACTGAATCATGAACCCATTCAAACCAGGTTATTGGTTCACAAACTGACCCAGTTCATATCAGTTTGTGAGCCATTTAAAATTTAAACTCTTGCTTTCAGCTCCCTGCAACTTTTTGCAGGAAACAGAAAGCAGGGGAGCAGAATGCAGGGGCTTAAATTTTAAATGGTTCATTGCAGTTCTTTGGTTCATGAACATCGCTTCATGAACCAGCCAAAATTCATGATTAGTTCATTAACCAGTTCATGCCCATCTCAAATCCTGTGTAAGTTGTAAGTCAGCAATCTCCCTGTCAGAGACCCAAGCCTTGGTCCCCCTGGGTCACTGCTCCTTATCCCTTGAACAGTGCCTGCACACAAATAAAGCAGGCCTTTAAAGATATATAGGGTTTAGGTAAAGGTAAAGGTTCCCTTGCTCGAAAGCCAGTCGAGTCCAACTCTAGCGTTGTGGTGCTCATCTCCGTTTCAAAGCCAAAGAGCCAGTGCTGTCTGAAGACATTTCCGTGGTCATGTGGCCAACATGACTAAACACCAAGGCGCATGGAACGCTGTTACCTTCCCACCGAAGTGGTACCTATTTATCTACTTGCAATTTCTTGCTTTCGAACTGCTAGGTTGGCAGGAGCTGGAACTAGAGATGGGAGCTCACTCCGTCATGCGGCTACTCGGGTCTCAAACTGCTGAACTACTGACCCTCCACAGCCTGCAGTTCAGCGTCTTAACCACTTGAGCCACCGCAGCTCCTATATAAGGTTTATTTAAAGGTTAAAAAAAAATTCACTACACAGTACACTCTCTCTAGCCTAGCATGTGTGTCTCTTCCATCCAGACACATTGGATATTTGTTACCAGAACAATTTGGAGAGCATGTGCAGTTACCATGAGAGATTATCCATAGCCTACTGTGGCCTACTGTGTAAACTTTTAGCAATTGCACATCACATGAGAAAGCAACACCTGGCTCTAAATAATTTTTTTCCATATATTTATTTCTGGATGTGTGTTGTTTTACAATAGTAATATTGACCACTGAAGAAGGCCCTAAGGGGCGGAAACATGTATGGTCTACTAGTCATAACATATACCCATCAATTGTATATGTAAAGCTATCAGCTCTGTGTATTAAAAGTTTTAAGAGTCTGATATTTGGATCGTTTCTTTTAACCTATTTTATCTTTTACTAATGTGTACACCGTAATAAATATCTGTACTTTTATAATAACATATTTTGTTAGCTTGGGCTGAGTCCCCCCCCTTTTTTTTCTTGGTCCTTTGGGTCCAATCAGGAATCTCTCTCAGTGGAACTTTCCAGATGATTTTAATGTCGGCTCCTAATTCCCCCTTCCATCTGATTATACAGCTGAGCACAGATTCTCACGATTAACCAATCACCTCATTCCTGAGTCTGGCCTCCAAAGAGATAAGGATGGTAGCTGCAGGAAGGCTCAAATCACAAACACCTGCAAGCCAGACTAGGTCCTATAATAATCACGTTAACCTTTAAGGGAAGTTAGGGCACTTTGAATCACACTCCCTTTCCAGTCTATTTTGAAATTCTTTTGCAATAAAACAGCTCTTCTGAGGTCTCCCACTGAATATCCTGGAAGGCTGAAGTGTTCTCCTACAGGTTTCTCGGGGGGGGGGGTATTCTTCATGTCAGATTTGTGGCCATTTATTCTTTGGCATATGGTTTTACCTGTTTGTCCTATGTAGAAAACTGAAGGGCACTGTTGGCATTAAATGGCATACACAATGTTAGAAGATGAGCAAGTGAATGAGCCTGAGATGGTGTAGTTCAGAGGTGTCGAACTCATTTGTTATGAGGGCCAGATCTGACATAAATGTCCCATTGTCAGGCCGGGCCATGTGTGCCATAAAATGTAATGCTAGGTAATGCGAACATACTAATCAAGTTTCTCAAGTTTTGTTTATTGTCTTAGCCATTGGCCTTAACAGCACAAAGTAAATCAAAGCACAACAGAAATATACATCAATAACTTGCAGTAAGTCCTAGACCCCGTCTTATCTTTTTTGCCGCCAGTGCAAACAAAGCCATTCTGCTAGTAACATGTGCATCAGTATCAGAAAGCAAGAACACGGTCAAATCCTGCTCAGCAGTTCCATTATACAGAGGTACAATAGGATAAATAAACCTTTGCCTAAGTGATTTGTGCCCTTCGTCTGGGATCCATCAGAAACCAAGTAGCATGTTCACAGCCTGAATAGTTTTAAAATCAGCATCCTACTACAGAGTGCATTGTATTATTCCTAGCCCTTTATGAGCATGAAAGCTCTTGTACTACTTTATAGAATATTTCCTGAGGAAAATCCGTTTTTTTGAAACGTTTTTTATAAAATCTGGAGACGTTGATACATTCTAATACAAGGATTTTCTTATGATTTGGTGGAATTTGTTCCTTGTTATGTAGTGGCAACAATATTTAGAAAATATTTTCTTTGTATGTCTTGTGGACTATCTGGATTTGTGAGTCAGACTCCCACAACTGTTTTCTCAGTAATTGTCTCCTTGGAGCCTGTCTTGCAACAAGTTTTTTTCTGGGTACCATTCTGGCTTTGTTAATCTGTTTCTTGACTTCATCGGGTGGATATTTTATTTCCAAAAATGTTTGTTGTAGATCCCTCAGGTGAGGGTCTCTGTCTGAAGGACTGGAATAGCTGTGGTTATAACATAGAGCCTGGCTGCATAACAATGGATTGTTTGGTATGTTTACTAATGCATCTGGACTCTAATTAGCCCTTCCTGGCAACACCCTCCCCACCTTCTACCTATATGTAATGGTTGGTGATATCTGTTTCAATGTATCTGAAGAACTGTGCATGCCCACGAAAGCTTATACGCAGAATAAAACTTTCATGGTCTTAAATGAGCCACTGGACTCACTTTGTTCCAATAAAAGAAACTATGTTACCAATAACAATCAAATTGTGACATTCCCCCATGTATGGATTTAACGGCACCATCACCCCACAAGAAGTGCGAAGACCCTCCAGTACCAATGTGCTTTAACAATCTGAACAACTCAGCTGATATTCGTGACTGCACTGATTCCGACCTTTTACATTCTTTTAGTAGATTACCATCTTTGGACCAATTACGTATTTTAACCAGATTTAAAGTACTGTATTCTAACTTAAGAAATATTGTTTCTGGGAAAACTAATATTGAATCATCAGTTACTTCATTTTCTCCTCTGCCATTGGCTCCTAGTAAACCTCTCCTGATTAATTCCATAAATATATGTGAGAATCTGGACACTATTACTCCCCTGGTTTCTGAAGCTATACCAACTACCAGGCCAAGGGTTCCATTAGAACCAAATATAATAGTTGATAACAAGACTAAAAATGGTACACAAGTTTCTGAACAGACTCAAAGCTGTTACCAATAACAGCCGATACCAAGGAAGACTCCCAGATGGGAAGACTCCCAGATGGGGAAGACTCCCAGATGGGGCTCCTCATTCACAGGTGGGAGGTGTTGGAAAGTAGCTTTTTAAAAAACAGCTGACCTCTTGGTTCATGACCAACTTGGAACACAGGGATGAGACACACAAGTGGTGGGGTACAGCAGGGCAGCTAAAGGATGCTGGGACCCAAGCAGGTCTGTGACTGGGAAAAAGCAGTGTTGTATTCTAGATAGGGCAACACACTTACTGGTCCACCCTTTTCTACATCCTTCATCTATATGACATAAGAAATTAACAGAAGGTTTTAAATTTTTAAAAAGCCCATGCTGATGAAGACATTTGTGAGTAAATACTCAATTTAGCTTACAATCCCTTTGCCAGCCTCACTGATTCATAGGAAGGGATCAACACTGTATGTGGTGGAGTGCTTTATCTTTCCTTCCAAAGTTTGGCTGGACCTGCAGTAGGAGACCTGTGTGTGGTATCCATTTATACATCTAGATATCCCTCCCAAGAAGAAGAAGAAGAGAAGAAGAGATTGGATTTATACTCCACCCTTCACTACCAAAGGAGTCTCAGAGCGGCTTACAAATTCCTTTCCCTCCCCCTTCCCACAACAGACACCCTGTGAGGTAGGTGGGGCTGAGAGAGCTCTGACAGAAACTGCTCTTTTTCAAGAACAGTTGTGCAAGAACTATGGTTTGCCCAAGGTCATCCAGCAGGTGCGAGTGGAGGAGTGGGAATCAAACCCAGATCTCCCAGATTAGAGTCCACGCACTTAACCACTACACCAAACTGCCTCCTACCCAGATTTTGAATGTGCAGCTAATATGCTGAGATCTGAAGGCCAGCCAGGGATAGGGAGAAAGGTCTACACTGAGACCTCTACCAATTCTACCCTGTGTGCATAACTATGCAAAGGGCACACACAGTACTCTTAATATTTTAAATTAATTTTAAAATGGATACCAACAATTAACATACTATTTTAGACAAAAGTGGAATTCCTGTCTAAAAGAAATGTTTGATATTCAACATCCCCAGCAAGTTGTATGTCGGTTTACAAATAGGTCACCAGTTCTGCCGCTGTATGCCGCTGTATGACACTGTATGGGGACGTGTCCTTAGCAGGGTATGTTGCAAGTTAAAGGAATGGAGCTCAGCACCATAAAGAGTACTACTGCACAAGGGAGGTGGGGCCAGCACCTTTATATGAGGATGTGGGGAAGCAGCATCAGAGATGCAAGAAAATACCCCAGGTGAAATAGTCCAGAGCTGGTTTTTCAATGTATCATATGGTCTTACATGCTCACATGCTCACATGAATGCATGAATGCATGAAGCGGCCTTATACTAAGTCAGACCATTGGTCTATCAAGATCACCATTGTCAACTCTGCTTTCCAGGATCTCCGGCTGAAATCTTTTACATTACTTACCACCTGATTATTTTAACTGCAGATATCAGGGACTGAGCCTGGGAACATCTTCATGCAAATGAGATTACTCTACCCCTGAGTCCCAGCCCCTGCCTAATGCTTAAGGGTGGGTTTTTGGAAGGGAAAGATTGCAAGGAAAGCTCACAAAAAGTAAATGTAAATTAAGGAGACCTAAGAGAACGTCAGGATATCAGTAGCTGATGCAGCAGGCCATGAATTCCACATCATTACAGAGCAATCCATGTTAGCAGTCAGCTCTCCCCTAAAGTTGGGTAGTTGGCACCCAGAGAGAAAGCAAGTCCAGACACCCTTCATATAAAATCACTCCAGATAGATATTAAATCTAACACACTGCCTGGCCTAAAAATGACTCCACAAGGAATGCCAAGCAGAATACCAGCCTGGGAAACCTATCTGGAAGTGAACCCAGGAACTGAATTGCAAAACAAATCTCTCCCACCTGAAGGCAATGGCATATTTTATAACAATGGATTTCTCAGGAAAACAGCATTCTACTTTGATGGTACCGTTTTCATCCCAGGTAATGGCTTCCCCTCCTGGCACCTACACCTCTGTTAGCATATCCATAGCACCTGGAAGTGTCATCCATCCTGTATTCTGGGTCATCCCCATATCCTACCCACAGGCTCCACTATATTCTTTAATCTCTCTCAGAGAAAACCATCTACCATTTGTTCAAGTCTTTGGAAACCTTCCTGTAAACACATTAAGCTATTGTTTTAGGGGCAAACCTGTTGCAATGCCCCAAGGTACATTTTTCTGATAAATACATGAACTCAGTTCCAGTACACAAGGCCTCTTCCGGGCATCAACTTCATGCTCCGTGAAGTGCTGGTCACTTCTCTTTCTCTCCGCTGACCTGAATCTTCAAGACTGGTAAATATTGCCTATCGGAACATTATTTCCCTGCTATGACCTTTATTTCTTGGTTAGCTCTTGTATGTGTGCTTCACTGTATGTTTTGTATGTGTGTTTTTACCCTTTATTCGTTTTCAATAAATACTCTATTAGTTGAACATCAGCCTGGTTTATTGAGAGTTCTCAAGGGAAGGACCCCGTATACAAAGGTAGCGATCTCGTGTTACCCGCCTCTTGCTAGTTAAATTTCCCAATCTATTAAATATTAGACCAATTCAGGTAACATCCAGAAAGAGCTATTTCATAAATTTCTTAGAACAGTCTCATGAACAGAAGGATATATAATTATTCTCCTGTATAGGTGATGAAAAATCAAACAGTAATCCCTGCTTCTGGTATATCCATAAAAGCACCTAGGAACATCATTTCCACTACCCATATCTACTAAATGCAAAGTCTCTCTTCCCCCCTTTTACCAATTTAATGTCTCAAATCACCTTCCGAATGGGGGAAAATACCATATGGACAGAGATGACTAATGGCAGGATTTGAGAATGATCTTTGGCAAAATAATCTGGCCAGTTTCTCAGGAAGGCTGTGTGATCCTCCTCAGAAAGACTGGTGTCAGAACAAAATCAGTAATGGAGAAAATAAAAAAGGGAATAATCTTACCTCAGATTTTCTGAGCTGAATTCAGACTCCAGGAATTTAAGGAACTGCTCTCTTCCTACAGGGTCTTTCAGGGCTTCATCCATGCGAAAGGCCCATCGTTTTACCCTTTGCTGACTTGGCTCTTTACTGGAAATGGGGGATAGAGGAGAGAGAAGAGTTCTCACAGAGCTAAAACTTCAGTCTTTCTTGAGATTAATTCATCAGTTACACTCTCCCTAAAGATTCTGATACTAATTTTCCATTATTCAAGATAGTTTTTCTAATTATTTGTTTCAGACTAGTATATGGGGCTGCTACACACATCATTTTTTCTACAAGAAGCTAATGCCTATCTGGAATAAAAATATGTGTAACCTGTCATATGTGATATTTGATATGAGTGTTTATTTTGCTGCTGGGTTTATTTTTGGGAAGATGATGCACAGACTATGAAGTGGCCCGGAGAGAACTCTTGCGGCTAATTCCAAGATTTGTCAAAAGCAGTAAACATAACACCAAGCAGTACATCTTTCCAAAAAGCAATTGACTTATGCTCTTGTCCTTAAGGTACGTGGTAGATAAAATGACTTTACTTTGGCAAGAAGAGTATCCCCACATGCTGCTTCTAACATACAAGTTGCTGTGATAAGGTACTCATCCTTTTGTATGCATAGGGATCTGGAATGCTTTCAAGATGCTGTGACAAGAAATGCATCCAACCTATGTTGTCTTCCTCATCCCATCTTTGCTCAGTTCTCATTTCATGAAACCAACTGTACAACCCTGGTGGTAATATCCATTCCTGATATAAAGGTAAATGATTAATCAGACAACTAATGCAAAGCAGGCATCCTCTTTCTGCTGTGTGACTGGCTAGGAGCTCCACTTTCCCTGTCAACATGCTAGAACATCCAACATGGGTTGATTTCTCCTCCATCACGAGTGGTAAAGCCTGGAATGTGATCTAACTTTGGGAAAGCCCACCTCACCAATTTCAGCCGAACTAAAGAGAAAAACTCTCTTCAGATGTTTGAATGAGCTGGAATAAACATGGGGGATGGAGTAGGAGCATGTGGGTGCGTGGGAAGTAGTAGCATCCTAAACATACATTTGTTTGAATATATGCATTGAATCTATATATGTGCAGCTCACTCCGTGAGCCTGGAAATCTTGAAAAAATAGGGCTGCCAATGGGTGAATAAAGCTGTATGTTTATATAGATGTAGACAGATAGGATCTTTCCATATAAAATGAAGCACAAAGGTAAAAAAACAGAGTTTGCCACTGCAATCCTACTTTCCATTTATCCCCACCTCTGACCATCTGGCTAGAATGTCTACTTGGAATATGAATTTTTCAAATTAGTAATACCACAAGTGGAGTCCCGCAAGAAACTTGTGGGATGGTTAGCCCATTCCTCACACCTTTGCTTCCTCCTGTCTCCCCCTACCTCTCTCACACTCTTTAGGAGTTGGCAACACAATTTCCTTCCCACCCAACAGTCAACCTACCTTTATTTGCCTCTCTGTCTTCAGCTTTCCATCTCCACACCCCTCCCCCACAGCCTCTACCTAGGAAAATTACAGTCTTTCTTCACAGTGGGGACCAAAGCAGCTTACATTATTCTCTCCTCCTTTTATCTGCACAACAACCCTGTGAGGTTGGCTAGGCTGAAAGTATGTGACTGGTCCAAAATCACCCAGTCAGCTTCCACTGCAAGATGGGGATCTGAACCTGGGTCTCGCAGACCCTAATCTGAAGCTCTAACTGATGCACCGCACTGGCTTTCATAGGGTGGCTGCTGATGAACAGTAGCAAGCAGTTGGGCCTAGTTGAGTCATACAAATCAGGTGGTATCAAGTCACCCTGAGGGTGCTGCCTAGGGATGCCAGCCTCCAGGTGGGACCTGGGGATGCTTGGAATTACTGCTCATCTCCAGACTACAGAGATACCTTCCCATGGATAAAATGGATGCTTTGGATGGTGGACTCTGTGGCATTGTGCCCCACTGAGGTCCCTGTCCTCCTCAGGCTCCACCCACAAATCTCCAGGAGTTTCCCAGCCTGGATCTGGCAACCCTACCCCCCATCCCCTGCCGGTGGCCAGGGAGGAACCCGGCAACCCTAAACTGCTGCCAGGCCTAGGGTTGCCAACCTCTAAGTGGGGCCTGGAGGACCCCCCCCCAGAATTACAACTGAACTCAAGACAGCAGAGATCTGTCTCCCTGGAGAAAATGGCTGCTTTGGAGGCATTATACTTAGCTGAGGTCTCTCCCTTTTCCAAACCCAGCCCTCCTTACAGTCCACCTCAAAAACTCTAGGGATTCCCCAGGCTGGCACTGGCAACCCTTGTCAGGCCTGTCCTCAAGGCTCCCTCCCTCCCTCCAAGGCCAAAAGAGGCCAGGAAAGGGCCCTTCCCCCACCCTTTTACTGACAGAGCCAGTTAGAAGCCCCCCCCCCCAACATTCTAATCTCTCACTGTTGATGTCTGGAGTTAGATCCCTGCAGAGGCCATTTCAAAAGGTATTGGGGGGGGGATTCAACCCTCCCTGAAGGGATTTTTTTTACTTCTTGGATTTTTCTGCAGACACAGGAAGTCTACTGACTATGTAGGAAAAGCTGTTCGGGGAGAGTGAGCCCTCTGTTGGCAGAAATAAGTATCCATACAAACCCGCCCCCTGTGGGAATTAGATATATAGATTAATCTGAAAACAAGATATAAATCAAATTCACGTAACATACCTTGCTTCTATTTCCCAGAAAGTGGTATCATCTGACAACCAGGGATTAGACGGGTCAGGTGCCACTAGAAATGGGTCATATTCCACATACTGCTCAGTGTAAAGTACTAGACTAGAAAAAATAATTTGACATTTTTGTAAGATGAATGTTGGTTGAGACCTAATTTTCAAAGGATAAATTAGTGTATGGTTTTGTATGACGCGTGTATCAAAATCCAATATATTCTTGTTTGCATGCTGACACAATTTAGTGTCCAGCAATAAATTTAGTACAATTGAAGCAATCAATTTTTTAAATAAAAACGGAATGGCAACATACGTACCTTTCTGCAACTTTTGACATTTTTAACCGATGTCTATCTAGCTGTATTTGCCAATACTTTATCTATAAAATGTGAAAACAGAAGACTGATATAAGAAAATAATTGCTCAACTGTATTTTCAGATAATAAAACTTTTCAGTACTCCCTGTACTGAGGGATGTTTACTCCCTCACTAATATCTGTAAGACTTAAATATGGTTAACTTTCAGTAGATCATGACTTAAAAGTTGAAAGGCATTTCCACCCATCATTTTGTATTGAAAATGTAATGTCATGATTGAAACAGAGTTAAGTACTTTGGAAGCTCAGGGGTTAAATTTCACATGCTTAAATTTCTCCCACTGTTTAACTTTGGTTTGACAGTGCAAAAACTTATTTGAATACTATGGGGCCTAGGTTGAGCCTTCAGTATATTGTCTTTGCATTTAGCATTTGCTCAAAGCACTTGATAAACATTATCTCAAGAATCCTTACAACAGTTCTATGGTAGGACGTTATTATCAACTCCCTATTGCAGTTGAAGGACTGAAGAATGGTAACATTGTGAGGTAAAATCTGACCTAAGAATTCCCCAGCTCATGTCTCTCACACGTAGGTAGGTAGGTAGGTAGGTAGGTAGGTAGGTAGGTAGGTAGGTAGGTAGGTAGGTAGGTAGGTAGGTAGGTAGGTAGGTAGGTAGGTAGGTAGGTAGGTAGATAGATAGATAGATAGATAGATAGATAGATAGATAGATAGATAGATAGATAGATACTATTCTACATTTAATTCCCTCCCCCCAGAACTGGTTTCATGCAGATTTTAGAGACTTGCAAACCTCTTGACGCAATTCATCTTCTGTGGGTGGTTTAGTTTCTGGCACTGGTGTGTGTGTGGGACTGTGACTTCGAATGTCATTTTGTAATCCATAGACAGACTGTACATAAACAAGAAAAAGAGATATGGATATGTAGACAGTGCTTTCTTATGTACAGTCATCCTAATTGCACATATACTTGAACAAAGTACTCAGTACATCCATTTCTCAAGACCTGCTTCAGTACATTGTTATACCTTATACCTTGTTGTGACTATGAGTCCATACAAACCATCAACCTATCCTCTAGTGAGTTTTCTGGCCCTATGGTAGCTTTACATTTTCATCTTATGTCACCTCTTATGGATCACTTTGATGTAGGTGTTTGTTTAAACATTTTTGTTGTGTCTACTTTCCCTCTGGATCCTATTGTTATATTATCTCCTCATTTGCTGTCAATCATGGTCTGTTCCCACTTCTTCTTTTAGTGGTGCTCTTATAGTTTAACCCTTTCCTGCACTCACATGCTTTCCCTTTTTCCTTTTCTCCAGTTTAAAGGGGTCTGTATCATCTTAAACACAGAGAGCAGAGGGAAAGCAGTCTTCCCATAGTTCAACAGAAAAGTAGGTGAAGAATAGGTAAAGAGTACACATTATTAAACCTACATGGAAACAATCCCTCCCTCACATTCCGTGCCTGAGTAGGCACCCTAAAAAAGAAGGTGAGATCTGTAGATATTTTAACCACATGTGGTGAAGCAGTTACGCAACCACCATCGCCACATGAAATAGAACAGATCTACAGATTAGTGTGAATCTGTAAAGTGGCTGCTAATTATCTGAGTGTTCCTGGTAGGGAGGATTTTGCCACACATCAAGTGCAGATGTGAAGTAGGATGTGTCCATCTGTGTTCACCATCTGTAAATGACAGATCTCTGAAAGTTGATTTATGTAACATTATAATGGTTACATTTGATCATGTTAATATTTTATTGGAGGCTGAAGAATAGAAAACGAGGGGAAATGATCCATAAACAAACAGCTCTTATCCTCACTGGGAGTGAGCTGGGAGAAGAAAATGGAAACAGAGAGGTACAGTGTCATAATAGATTGCTATTTGTATAGTTCCCTGGTGTGCGCCAGACGCTTGATACATGACTAATTTCAATTCTTGGCACAATTCATTAACACATATTGTATCCAAAATGTCATTACAACCTAGTGGCTCGCAGTTGTCTTAAATCCTACTCTGCTCCTGCTACCTGGCCAGTATTCCCTCTAAGCTGAGTTAGTGTGAGCTAGCTCACAGTTTTTTAGCCTCCGGCTCACACATTTTTGTCTTAGGTCAGGAAGGATGGCGCCCGAGCAAACTAATTGATGCAGTAGCCAAATCACTTGCTCACAACTTTAATGCCAGTAGCTCAGAAAGGAAACATTTTGCTCACAAGACTCCACATCTTAGAGGGAGCACTGTACCTGGGCTGTGGATTGGGCTGCTAGTCTTTAGTTGTTCTCTGTATCTTGATTGCAAAGGCGTTTTTTAACCCAGTGACAAAAGTGTTGTTTTAAGGATTATCTATAACTTAAACTATAACTTAAAAAAGAGTCAAACTCGACTGTGCGACTGAACAACAAAAAAACCTGTAACTCTTATTTTGAAAGGCCTGGTATTCTGGAGTGCTAAAAGCCAGAAAAGGAATGTTTGAAAAAACTGTGTTGGAATCAGTGTTCTCTCTAAGCTGAATTAGTGTGAGCTAGCTCACAGTCTTTTAGCCTCCGTCTCACACATTTTTGTCTTAGCTCAGGAAGGATGGCTCTAGAGCAAACTAATTTATGCAGTAGCCAAATAACTCGCTCACAACTTTAACACCAGTAGCTCACAAAGTAGAATTTTTGCTCACAAGACTCCACCGCTTTGGTGGAGGGAGCATTGGTTGGAATATTGATTTGGATGAAAAATTCCAAAACTTAACTGAAAAGTAGATTTTTTTCCCTTACGAGAGACTTTAAGGAAACATTCCTCTGCTGCATCCATCAGTTATATAACAGTGCCAGAAATTCTTCACATGTCTAATTTATTGTTTGCTTATTACTCACTGTATTTTTATCCAGCCTTTTTTCCATCATGAATTTCTAGTGGCTCACAGGGAATTCCCAGGAAGTCATCCTCCCAGGTACTGATCAGATACAGTCAACTGTAAGCAGTGGTGTCATGTATACATCCCCCCCCCCAAAAAAAGTGAAAGGACAGGGTGAGAGCAGGATCCAGTATAGCCACTGCTGCCATCACCAAGATAAACAGGGCAAGCAGTGAGACTGCATGGTGGTGGGTAAGGGATCAGCACTGAACTCTCTTGGGCTCCCAGCCGCTGCACAATGTTTTAAATTATCACTAACTTGCCTTAAGCACCCTCCCAAACTTTCAGAGAGTGGGAGGCTATGAGTACTAAGGATGATGGCAAACTAGAACCTTAAATGAACTCTTGAATCTGCCTGAATCAAACCATCTAGCTCAGTGTTGTCTACTTTGATGGCTAACAAGCTCTCCACGGTCTTGACAGAAAAAGACTCTCCCAATACCTGAGATCCTTTAAACTGAAAATACCTTCAGAACTGTGTATGAAGAGTACAAATACCCACAGTCTATGCATTACAACGTAGGTGTCTGGCCATAGGGCCAAGACAGACATGATGCAGGAGATCCACGTTTCCAATCAATTATTAATGATGCCATATTGGGAGAGGGTGAGCACTTCTTCTCACCACCCCTTCTTTGATTTAAATAATCCCCCAAAACCTGTAATTAGCCCCAGCAAAAACCAACCAAATAAATAGACAGCAGTATTTTGTATGGATTTTTGTGCTGCCAGATTATAACAGCTTCAGAGGTGAAAGGATTTAGCAGATTTTAACACACTATGAAGGAAGTAGAAAACTAACTTTGCCTACCCATGATCAATGTTCCCTCTAAGCTGTGGAGTCTTGTGAGCAAAAATTCTACTTTGTGAGCTGCTGGCATTAAAGTTATGAGCGAGCGATTTGGCTACTGCATAAATTAGTTTGCTCTGGAGCCCTCCTTCCTGAGCCAAGGCAAAAATGTGTGAGCTAGAAGCTAAAAAACTGTGAGCTAGCACACACTAACTCAGCTTAGAGGGAACACTGCCCATGATGTGCATATTGCAGGTGCATGGCTTAACCATACGAACTGGAATTCCAAACCCAGGCTAAGCCCTAATAAAGAATCCTGGTTTGTGTATGTGGCAAATTAATCCTGGTTAAGCCACACACCTGCATTTTGACATCACAGAGAACTGCATTTAGTTTTAAACCAGGATTCTTTCATCATGCTTCATATTCAAAGGGAGCAAGATGCATGTGCGAATCCAACAACAAGCTGGGTTCGTGCACATTCAGATTTTATGTTGGCTTGATGTGCCATCTGAATGTAACCAAAGTATTATCCTGTTCTTGGTGAGAAGGACAGAGAGGAGATTTGAGTCATGGCTGGGGAGAGCTGATGACTTAACATGTCTCTCTTAAATAACATCCTTAAACTCACTTTCATAGAAATGCATTGGTAGATCTGTCAACAGCTATGACAGTACACTACTCAAAGTTCATGAAGTTTAGTTGTCTGAAGAGCAGAATTTCATATATTTCTAGAAAGATTCATGCCTTACACACACAAAAACTTTGCCAAGAGTAAACAGAAGCTTGTTTCTATTTTAGAAATAATTTATTAACCCCATAAGTGCCCAGACATATAGGTCTCTTCAGTGTAAGGCAAGAACTATTATTTACCATACATGTAAATGATCATTGAAAAGCAGAACCTACCTTCCTTGTTTTGTGAGGATTTCTCATTCTAGAAGACTTTTTAATATCCATTTCAGTAGTATTTACACATCCAGGCTAAAGATTTAAGACAAGAAGAAATATATGTGATTTTCCATTTCATATTTAAGGCTGTCAGTTGCCAAATCTGGCTCTGACTTCAGCAATTAGGGTTGCTGTTCCCTGGCAGTCTCTCCTGCCTCTTCAATGGCAAAGGCCCCCTGACTGACAGAGGAAGACAGCAGCTGAAAGAGAAAGTAGCAAATCATTCTTGATCTACAGCAAAGTCAACTTTGGCAAAGATGATTTTGTGAAGGGCTAGGCACAGCACTGACCATTGGAAAAACATCCTTCTTGTCTACAAAGAAGGGATGCTTCCAAAATTCTCCTTATTTGAAACTTTCCCCAGAATGCTGGAGTTCCAAATTCCCTAGTCTTGTTTCCAAATAGGGTTGCCAGGTCTTGGTTGGAAAATACCTGGAGACTTTGAGGGTGGATCCGGGAGAAGGCGGGGTTTGGGGAGGGGCCTTAGTATGGTACAATGCCATAGAGTCCACCCTTCAAGGCAGCCATTTTTCCTGGGGAGTTGATCTCTGTCAGCTGGAGATCAGTTGTATAAGTGGGAGATCCCCAGGCCCCACCTGAGTGCTGGCAACCAATGCTCCCTCTAAGCTGTGGAGTCTTGTGAGCAAAAATTTTACTTCATGAGCTACTGGCATTAAAGTTGTGAGCAAGCAATTTGGCTACTGCATCAATTCATTTGCTCTGAAGCCATCCTTCCTGAGCTAAGACAAAAATGTGTGAGCTGGAGGCTTAAAGATGGTGAGCTAGCTCACACTAACTCAGGTTAGAGGGAAATAGGCAACCCTATTTCCAAAGCTCAAACAATGCATTCAAAATTCTCCACTGTTCCACTGTTTAATTGTGTACAAAGTGCTGCATGTTTGCAGTTTGCTGTTGCTTTCAATTCAGATCCCCCCCCCCCGAAACACGGCAAAGATCTAGTCTTGGTGTGATTGTATACATGTTGCATCCTTTGCGTGTGTTTTTACCACTGAGTTTAAAAAATTGCATAAAATGAGGCAGAATTCAGTCATAAATGTGATCACAAGGTTGCTTTTTGCAGTGTTTTAGTTATGAACATGAGTTAATTGGCAATGCTGTGTTGGGGATGTAAACGAGCTGAAGGAAATGAAGGCTCTGGCAAATTACATAGGATTCAATTCCAAATTTAAGTTAAGTTTAGATATTCTTCTAGTTAAACCAAAGCTAAGGAGGAGTGGAATGCAGCACGCAGAGAAGTTCTTTAGCATTTTCTCCCAATACATGCTCGACTGGTGCCAAGCTTACATTCCTTCAGGCAGCAGTCAAAGTAGCTTTATTTATTTATTTATTTCATTTGCCATTCTAACTGCCATGTCTGTACAACTTTCCCCCCTGCTATGTTAGTTTAGACTTCTAACGCTGGTTCTTGATTTTATATCCTAAATCTGATGTGTTTTGAATTGTTCATGGTTCTTCTTTTAGTTAGTTTTTTTTTTTGTAGGATCCAACTCATTTTAAAGTGTTGCATTTAAAGATTTTTAATTGGTCTGTTGTAGCATATTAATATGTTGTGAATTGCCTCAATCACAGACTTGTTGTGAGGCAGAATACAAATATTTTAATTAAATACATTCTGGAACAATAAAGGAAAGGAATGGAAGGAATCCACTCACAGCTAGTCAGAAGTCTCCCCTACTGGAGCTCCTTGAATGGGTGAATGGCTTCATCAGCCCAGGCTGTCTCCATTCCAGATACTCAAGCGAGATTGCACTAGTGCATTCTACATGTCCTTGAGGATGGCTCCCCTGAAGGAACTGGGTCATTTGCAACAGGCAAGTCATATCCGCAACAGTGAATGCCAACATTTACCCACGAACTGGTTTTTTTAAAAAATACAAAAACAAGTCCCAGAAACATAAAGAAAACCAATGGTTACCATGCACAGCCCCAGATCACATGAGCTTAGAGTTGCCAGGTCTTACCTGGCTACTGGTGGGGGGGTGTCCAGTCCTGATCTGGGAGTCTTCGGGTGCACACGCTTTGTGTGTGTGCTACAATGACCTCACCCAGAGGTGAAGTCATTTTGCCAGGCATGTTGGGTGGGACGCTCTAGCATCTGAGCAAAAAACCTCTATGGTCACCATGGAGTTTGTGCCCAAATGCTACAGTGTCCCCCGCACAATGTGCCCAGTGCGATGACATCATCCCTGAGTGATCTCACTGCACCAGGCATGTCAGGCAGGATGGGGATCTTTGGGGGCAGGGTTCCCCCACCAACCAGCTGGCCAGTGGTGGATTGGGGCCCCTGAAATCAGGAAAACCCCACCCCCGTTCAGGGGATAGCAACTCTAGATGAGCTGCTCTTCCAATTTTGCCTTAGAAGCGAAAAAAAATAATCTGACTTTTTAAATTTTAAAAAAATCACATGTGCATCTTTTGGTTGAATAAACACTATTAAATAGTGAAGAAGGATGTAGTCAGCCATCCTTAGCTCAACCTATAATAGCCATAAAGTATCTGTTCTTTCTTAAACAACCAGTAATTAAAACTTCTTGCAACTGGTGCTTTATATGTTGAAGTTTTGTGTAATGATTTCTCAAACAAATTTAGATACTTTGTGGGAGAATGATGCTTACTGGACACATTCTGCTTTTAAGCTAGTACCTCTTTTAACATAATAATTAGTCTCAAGGTACAATTAACACCAGCTGTGCTGTCTTTTGCAATCCTTCTTTATGCAGAACATGTGGCTTTTGTTAATTATGGACTTTTTGTATCTGTCACTGTCCATGCTGATTGGCAATAGCTCTCTAGGTTCTCATGAAGAGGTATTTCCTCATCACCTTTAACTAAGAAGACAGTGTTTGAACCTAGAACATTTTTTTAAAATGTTGTACAAGTGATCTGTCAGAGTCCTGGTTTATAGTACAGAAGTATCAGAACTTCAATTGGTGTGATGCGAAGTAGGTATGGAGGTCATGCTATCCAGCCATGCCCCCAATGTAACATGTGATGTGATAGTATGCATAATTTACACAGTCTTTCCTGGAAGAGGAAGGGTCATGAGACCTGTCTGTGCAGATGGCCATATTAAGCCTTATGGTGTAGACATGGTAGGAGAGCTTGAGTCTCTATGCTCTCCCACCATTCTGACAGAGAGGTTACAGTAGTTGTATGAACTGGACCAAAGAAAACGTTTGACATTTTTTATTTTCAGAGCACGAACTGCAAATGACACTATTTTATGCAATGCTGATCTTCAGACCTAATCTGCAAAAATAGTCCACTGAGCATGCCTGACTAATGACAGAAACCTAATTTCAGAAACATATGGTGTTTGTTCTGATTTCATTTTATTACCTGGCACCTACCTTACTATTCATTAGGCACTAAGCCAAAACATTTATTTTTACCCAGGCTTCTAACTGAATAGTTCAATTTGTTAGCTGTTTATTATTGTTGTTGTTGTTGTGGTTACTATTATTATTATTACTAGTCACCGTAACAGTCAGATATTTGACTAGTAGATGGTGTTCTGCAATTCAAGAGCTAGCCAAGTTCTTGGGAACTGCAGAGGTATCTTCGCAGAATTCTTGCTGTTCCCATTAACACTGTCTTCTGGAGCAGAGCTGGTATTATTTGCTTAGTGCCCAGAATGTCCAGGTGTTTCTTCAGACTTCTAGGCATTACTCCAAAGCCTTCAGTGACAACTGGCATGATTATAACATTCTTCTCCCAGAGGCGCTCTAACTCTATTCGTAAGTCTTGGTATTTTGTGATCCTCTTCTGGTTTTTCTTTTCTATTCCGCTGTCTCCTGAGATTGCAATGTCAATAATCCAAACCCTATTTCTCATTTTTTTCTACAACTGTAATATCAGGGGAGTTATGCTCCAGATGTTCATCTGTTTGCAATTGGAAGTCCCAAAGAATATTTGTTTCATCATTCTCTATTATCTTGTCTCGTTTGTGCTCCCATGAATTTCTGGCTGATCGTAAGCCATACATCTTGCAAATATTCAAGTGCAACATAGCTGCAACTCTATTGCGACATTCTTTATAGTCAGTTTGAACAATTTTACTGCAGGCACTGACCATGTAGTCGAATGTTTCATCCTTTGTCTTGCAAAATCGACATTTGCTGTTACCACTGGTCTTCTGAATTTTTGGCTTTCGTACTATTCATTTTGAGTGCCTGCTCTCATGCAACTAGAATGAGTCCTTCCATTTCTTTCTTCAAGTGCCCATTTTGGAGACACTTCCAGGTGTATTCATTATAAACTTTGTTTTCTGTGTCTTTCAAATATTGCCCATGCAAGTGCTTTTCCTGCTATTTATCAGAGTGAGTTTTAATTTCAATCTTTTTGTAATCTTCTTTGGTTTCGGTAACCTTAAGGGATTCTGCCTTGTACACTTCAACTAGAAGCTTCTCTTTGCTTTTCTTGGTGTAGTCATTCAGTGCATATTTTTGTTCAACCGCTTGCTTAACTTTCAGGAGACCTCTTCCACCTAGTTTTCTTGGTAAGTAGAGACCATCAACATCACTTCTAGGATGTAGTGAATGATGCATGTTTGTTGTTATTATTGTTGCTGCTGCTGCTGTTAATTATTATTATTATTATTTATTTTTATTAACTAAATTTATATCCCACCTTTCAGCCCTTACTTTCTGCCCTTTTCTGCCCAGGAAAGTCTGCAGCTGGCTAACCAGTTGAGGCTGGTGAAAGGCGCTTCTGGCCACAGCTGTCACCTGTTTATTCAGCAATAGGCCTGGGTTCAATAGCACCCGCAGACTATGGACTTGTTCCTTCAAGAGGAGTGCAGCCCCATCCAGAATGGGTAATGCTTTAAATCCCCAGTCAGGCCTTCCACCCACCAGCAGCTCTTTCATCTTGTCAGAATTAAGCTTCAGTTAATTAGCCTTGTTGTTGTTGTTCAGTCGCACAGTCGAGTCCGACTCTTCGCGACCCCATAGACCACATCACACCAGGCCTTCCTGTCTTCCGCCGTCCTCTGAAGTTTGCTCAATTTCATG